ATGCAGTCTGCCCACCCTTCTCTTTCTTGCCTGATTTTTGTTGCCTGGTCGTAGAATTCAAGTATCCCTGTGAGGCAGGACCTGCCATCCCTGAACCCATGTTGATGCTGTGTTACAAAGCTCTTTCGCTCCAGATGTTCCACTAGCTTTCTTTGCGCAATCTTCTCCATCAGTTTGCATAGTATGCAGGTTAGGGACACTGGCCTGTAGTTCAGTGCCTCCTGTCTATCGCCTTTCTTCTATATCGGGATTACGTTAGCTGCTTTCCAAATTTCTGGCAGTTCCCCTGTTGCCAGTGATTTGTTATACACTATGGAGAGTAGCAGGCACAGTTCTTCTGCTCTTTCCTTTAGTATCCAAGGGGAGATTCCATCTGGGCCTATAGCCTTTGTCACATCCAACTCTAGTAAACACTTCCTTACTTCCCCGCTGGTAATCTCAAACTCTTCCAGTGGTTCCTGGTTAACTATTCCCTCTCTTATCTCTGAAATTTCTCCTTACTCTAAGGTGAAGACCTCCTGGAATTTCTTATTCAGTTCCTCACACACATCCCTGTCGTTTGTAGTGAATCCTTCTGCCCCTATTTTCAATTTCATAACCTGTTCCTTTACTGTTGTTTTTCTCCTGATGTGGCTATGCAGCAATTTAGGCTGAGTCTTTGCCTTGCTTGCGATTGTCATTTTCGTATTGTCTTTCTGCCTCTCTTCTCATCCTGATATATTCATTCCTGGCACTCTGGTATCTTTCTCCATGCCCTTTTACTTTGCTGCTTAGCTAGCCTACATCTCTGATTAAACCATGGGTTTCTCATCTTTATTTCACAGTTTTCTTTTGAACTGGGACAAACTTGTTTGCTGCTTCCTTGCACTTCTGCGTGGTGTAGTCCATCATGTCTTGGGCCATTTTTCCCCTGAGCTCTGTTTCCCATGCTGTATCTGTTAGGAATTTTCTTATCTCCTCATAGTTTCCCTTTCGGTATGCTAACCTTTTGTTTTCGGAATCCCTCCTCGGGTTCAATAACCCTTCTTCAATCAGGTACTCAAACACCAGTACACTTTGATCGCTCATTCCTACTGGGGCCTCAAAACCGATTTCTCTTATGTCGGAGTCGTTCAGAGTGAAGACTATGTCGAGTCTCGCTGGTTCGTCATTTCCTCTCATCTTTGTGGGTTCTCTGTCATGCTGGGTTAAAAAGTTTCTAGTCACCACCTCCAATAGTTTGGCTCTCCACGTATCCTCGCCTCCATGCGGTTCCTTGTTCTCCCAGTCAATCCTTCCGTTATTAAAGTCCCCCATGATGAGCAGGTGGGATCTATTTCTACAGGCAGCAGAGGCTGCCCTCTCAATTATAGTGTTAACTGCCATGTTGTTGTTTTCATACTTTTGACTGGGTCTTCTGTCATTTGGTGGAGGGTTATATATTACTGCTACTACTATTCTTGGTCCTCCCATTGTCGTGGTGCCTGCTACGTAGTCTCTGAAATCCTCACAGCCTGGGATAGCCATGTCCTTAAAAATCCATTCCTTTCTCATGAGTAGGGCCACTCTGCCTCCTCCCCTACCTTCCCTCTCTTTCCTTATTACTGTGTATTCCTGGGGGAAACATGGCATTCGTTATGATTCCAGAGAGTTTGGTTTCAGTGAGTCCAATTACATCTGGGTTCACTTCTTGTGCACTTTCCCTTAGTTCACTTGCCTTGCTTGTGATCCCATCTATGTTCGAGTACATTGCCCTGAATCTGACTCTCTTCTGCTTCTCCTTTGGGGGGGACCTGTGGGATCTGGGATGAGCGGGAGCTGAGAGGATCTGGTATGGGAAGTCTGGTGGAGGAGGAAGGGTTTGGGGGGTGGGGGATATGGGGGAGGGTAGGGGGGGTGGGTGAGAGGGGGAAGGTGGGGTGAGAGGGGGAGGGTAGGGAGGAGAGTGAGAGAGGGAGGGTTGGGGTGGGAGAGTGAGAGGGGGAGGGTTGGGGGAGCATGGGGGGAGGAGAGGCTTGGGGGTATGGGGGAAGAAGGGGGGAGGCAAAAAAGGGGGGAGGGCTTGGGGGGCGTTGGGGGAAAGGGAAGGCTGAGGTTGGTGTGGAAGAGGGGAGGGTTTAGGGGAGTGGTGAAGAGGGGAAGACTTAGGTGGGGTGGGGGAGAGTGGGGGGCTTAGGGGAGGCGAGGGAGAACGGAGGGCTTGGGGATGGGAGAGACGGGAGGGCATGTGGGAGAAGGGAGGGCTTTGAGGATGGGGGAGAAGGGAGGTCCTGGGGAGAGGGTGTGAGTGGGAGGAGGGTGGTGGGTGAGGGGAGGGTGCCCTAGGTGGGTACTTAGTGGGGGGCTGACAGGGGATGGGGCAGGTAGGGTGTCTGTTGGGTAGAATGTGGAGGTGGTGCCCCACTCCCTGTGGCTGTTGCACTGTTTGAGGAGGGTTCCCCACTCCCCTCTGGGATTGTAGGGTTCGGGGTTGTGGTTCTCTGATTCCTTTCTCTCTCCCTGCGAGAGTGTGTGTGTGTGTGTGTGTGTGTGTGTGTGTGTGTGTGTGTGTGTGTGTGTGTGTGTGTGTGTGTGTGTGTGTGCAATATATAATAACTTTGATAAAGTAAAATAGGTCGGGAATCAGTGCATTTCGCAGTCGACTGTTGGAAAGGTGGGGTCCAAGAGCTAATAGCTCTAGCCGTTTACTCCTACTCTCAGTCGCATATAGTCCTGGGGACCATTCAGGCTTGTTCGCATATATATATATATATATATATATATATATATATATATATATATATATATATATATATATATATATATATATGTAAATGTGTAATAAAAATTAGGTAAATTGGTGGAGATGAGGGAGTCTTAATATACACTTCTGAAGCTACTCCATGATAATGTAGGATAATTCTAGCATAATCCAGCTTATATTTGTATCTGGCTTGAAATGCCCATTGTGTTTAATGCATTATATCTTCCATTGAGGGACCTGCTACTAATTTAGTGGTTCTGAGTGGCTGAGTTATGCTACAGGCGAGAACTGCTAGACAGGTTAAGGATATGGTTGCTGTTGGTGCCTAGATATCCTTGAGGAGAAGGTTGATCTCGCATCCCGCTCCCACTCTCCCCTCTCTCTCTCTCTCTCTCTCTCTCTCTCTCTCTCTCTCTCTCTCTCTCTCTCTCTCTCTCTCTCTCTCTCTCTCTCTCTCTCTCTCTCTCTCCCAGTCTATCTTTCTCCCCTTTCTCTCTTTCGCCTGACAATAAGTCACAATATCGTGGTTGAAAATTAGACACCCAACCCACTAATCTGAAAATAAAGGAATTGACGATATTTCGATCCGTCCTGGATCATTATCTAGTCGTGTAATGAAACAAGTGGTAGAGAAAGTCAGTTTACAACGGAAGAGAATTAGAGGAGTCTCTCTCTCTCTCTCTCTCTCTCTCTCTCTCATCCGAGAGAGAGAGGAGGGTGTGGCACTGTGAATATAATACAATGCAACTGTGTATAAAATACAAGACGTGGAAGAAGCAGCAATTATAAAAGAGAACAACGTTACTAATCATGGGAGATTTCAATCATACTGAAATTCAAGTGGAAAAAACAAGGGACTGCCAGTTGAGAGAAAAGTTATGAAGCAACAAACTAGTGAAGATTATAGAGAGAAACTTCCTTGTGAGGACACATTATGCTCCAGGAAGACTCAGATAACAGGTATCGTCAGACAAGTAGCAGCTAGACTTAAAACCATACAACGAACGGAATGATTGATGCTATTCTGGAGAGCTATAAGAATTTTGCACCAAGATTGTAACCTTTTGTTGAATTGTCTGAATGTCTATTGCAACTTATGTCTGTGTATCTAGTAACAAAAAGTATATGTGTGTATGTCTGGTATCATACTGCATGTGTAAAGGAATAAAGGAAGAAATGTATATGTTTATCAACCCGAATGCTCGGTAATATGTGGATTATTTGTGATGTGTGTATATAAACACGTTGTATTGAACGGGGTGAGACTGGCTTGATCCCCTTCCATGTTGGATTATATGGGAATGAACGAGCAGATGTGCTGCCTGCTGAAGGCGCCGAAGGAGACCATATTGAATACTTCATACCCAAGACTCTTCTACAATTTAGAGGTATTGTGAGGCAACATCACCGTGACAAGGTAACTGAGGAAAAGAGGATAGAAGCACAAACCAGTGAATCTGTACGATGGTACAACATGGTTGCAGCTGGCAATCCCAATCATTATGGACGAAGAGGAGGAGGACGAGGGAGAGAATCAGTAATAGCGAGAATCCGTCTTGGATACAAATATTCATGGCGATTCGGAATGGAAACAACAGCTGAGGAGCGAAGTTGCGGAATCTGTGATGAGAGTGACGGACACCGCCTTGACCACTACCTGAGACAATGTGAACATCTCATAGACATTAGAAATATACGTAGAATAATAAACCCCACATTGTTTGAGTTAGGAAAACACTATTTGTCAAATATTGATACTGTTCTTAAAAGATTTCCCCATTTTGCACCCGCAAGATCTTAAGGGCTGACAGATGTTAATCTTCTTGTTTGAGGAGCTGTTCACTTGAGACAGTTAAGCAAGTCCCAGCTGTGTCTGGGTACAAGTGACAGGATGAACAACCCAGCAGCTTTTCTTCCTATTGGGGAGTGTTGTACATGTTGCTATGGCGGTGTGTCCACTCACAGGATGAGTGGCGCTGCCCAATAAACTCGCCCCTCGGGCAAAATTAAAATAAATTTACTAGCTTGAGTTACCTCATCCCTTTGTGTGTATCTACACTTCAATATTCTTATTTCAGTTTCAATTTAAATCCACATAAATGCAAGGTCATGAAATGTTAACAGGTAACAGGAGGCAGGAGAAGCAGTACAAAGTGAGGTGAAGAGAGGGAAGGTACCAGTGGAGAAAAATGAACGGAAAATAGATATAACGCCAAACTTGTCATGGATGTGCACATTAACACAGTCTCATCAGCGGTATATGCATGGCTGCTATATCATGGTTAACGACGTTATAGTTGGGGTTAATATTGTCGTGGACGTTATGGGTGTGGTTAATATTGTCGTGGACGTTATGGGTGTGGTCAATATTATCGTGGACGTTATGGGTGTGGTCAATATTGTCGGGGACGTTATGGGTGTGGTTAATATTGTCGGGGACGTTATGGGTGTGGTCAATATTGTCGTGGACGTTATGGGTGTGGTCAATATTGTCGTGGACGTTATGGGTGTGGTCAATATTGTCGTGGACGTTATGGGTGTGGTCAATATTGTCGTGGACGTTATGGGTGTGGTCAATATTGTCGTGGACGTTATGGGTGTGGTCAATATTGTCGTGGACGTTATGGGTGTGGTCAATATTGTCGGGGACGTTATGGGTGTGGTCAATATTGTCGGGGACGTTATGGGTGTGGTCAATATTGTCGTGGACGTTATGGGTGTGGTCAATATTGTCGTGGACGTTATGGGTGTGGTCAATATTGTCGTGGACGTTATGGGTGTGGTCAATATTGTCGTGGACGTTATGGGTGTGGTCAATATTGTCGTGGACGTTATGGGTGTGGTCAATATTGTCGTGGACGTTATGGGTGTGGTCAATATTGTCGTGGACGTTATGGGTGTGGTCAATATTGTCGTGGACGTTATGGGTGTGGTCAATATTGTCGTGGACGTTATGGGTGTGGTCAATATTGTCGTGGACGTTATGGGTGTGGTCAATATTGTCGTGGACGTTATGGGTGTGGTCAATATTGTCGTGGACGTTATATTAAAGAACAAGCCTTGCTTCGACAGAAAGCAAAGTACACAATGCCTTAAGCCAATTTGATGCATTGGTCAGTGACCGCTCCCTTTGCCAAATTATTTACACTGATGGCTCCTTGCACCAGTCCCATGGTGCAGCTGGAAGTGCAGTTGTTGTGACAACGAGAGATGGTTCCTTCTCCTATTAAGTGTGGAGCGCGTATAAATAACTGGGCCTCCACTCTTCAAACAGAATTAGTTACCATAATCCTTGCACTCGAGCGATTATATGAATCCAAAGTTGACACGTTAATTGTAATTACTCCTTGTCATCCTTGACTGCCCTCAGCTCCCCAAGGCATAACTGTGACCATGCTTGTGTCTGAAGCTAGACACATGTAATGAAATAATCAATGGAGTCTCCTGTGGATTCCTTCCCATACTGGTTTCTGAATGCATAATTGAACTGATGAGTTAGCCAAGACTTTTACTCGTAATGATGAAATTGATTACAATCTTGGACTGCCTTCGAACAGTCTGAGGGCAGCAATATTCCGGGAAACAACAACAAAATCTCGTAGACTTGAGGCAAAGTGAAATTCACACCAGTTGCTCTATGTATCATCATTCTATTATGCAGGAAGAACCGCACGTCTATGGGTCATCCAATAAGGTTAGCTGACTTGTAGATGATATCACTGCTAGGCTTAGGCTTGTCTACAAGTACCTCTGGGAGTTTGTAACATCTGCTGATGTAGAATTGACTAAATGTAAACTCTGTCAGCAGAACTATTCGCATACTTTACGTCATTATATACAGGAATGTGTAAAAATCGCGGAATTCATAGATAACACCATCAATGGTGTCCAAGAAATGTGCAAAGTACTTCATTCATAATGATGTGCTGCCGGGAATATTAGCGAAGTATTCAATATTTGCTTACTGTAGGTGCAGCCTGCACATGACTGTAAAGCTGCCGCCCAGTTGGGTGGGTGTGGAGCAAGACTAGTAACTGTGTGACTCACCACAGATGTAAAGTATCTTGTATAGTGACTATTGTGAACCTCTTGTTTACATGACGACAATTAGTTTACATCTGCCCAACCGCATCGCGATAATTAGTTCACACTTGTTCCACCACATCGCGATAAATTAGTTTGCAATGATGGACCACATCGCGGAGTTCTACTCCCCAAGCTCGGCCCTGGGCCAAGCTTGACTAGTGAGAGCTTGGTCCAACAGGTTGTTCTTTGACGCGGTCCTCAGGCCCACATTTCCACCACAGCCCGGTTGGTCCGGCACTTCTTGAAGAAGACTATCTAGTTTTCTCTTGAAGATCTCCACGGTTGTTCCGGCAATATTTCTTATACTCGCTGGGAGGGTGTTGAACAACCGTAGACCTTCACTGGTTCTATTCTGCATTTTCTTCCATATGGTTCACTCCATCCAGTATGTTGTTATTTTACTGTGTATATTTGGGACCTGGCCCTCCAGTATTTTCCACGTGTATATTATTTAATTTCTCTCTCGTCTCCTTTTTAGGGGAGACATTTGGAGAGCTTTGAGACGATCCCAATAATTTATTGCTTTATCGTGTCTATGCGTGCCGTATATGTTCTCTGTATTCCCTCTATTTCAGCAATCTCTCCTGCTCTGAAAGAGGAAGTGAGTATCGAACAGTACTCAAGACGGGACAGCAGAAGTGATTTGAAAAGTACAACCATTGTGATGGGATCCCTGGATTTGAAGGTTCTCGTAATCCATCCTATAATTTTTCTGGCTGACGCAATATTTGCTTGGTTATGCTCCCTAAATGTTAGATCGTCAGACACCATTATTCCCAAATCCTTTACGTGCTGCTTTTTTACTATGGGCAAATTTGATTCTGTTTTGTTCCCTGTATTATGTTTAAGGTCATCATTTTTACCATACCTGAGTACCTGGAATTTATCACTGTTAAACATCATGTTATTTTCTGCTGCCCAGTCGAAAACTTTATCTGCTAGTGGTTTTTCAATGTCTTCAGCAGAGGTAATTTTCATGCTGATTTGTGTCGTCTGCAAAGGATGATACGAAGCTATGACTTGTATTTTTGTCTATATTTGATATGAGAATAAGGAAAAGCAGTGGTGCAAGGACTGTACCCTGAGGTACAGAGCTTTTAACTGCGCTTGGACTCGACTTTATTTGGTTGACTGTTACTCTGAGGTTCTGTTCGACAGAAAATTGAATATCCACCGTCCTACTTTACCGGTTAGTCCCATTGACCTCATTTTATCCCTCCATGGTCACATTTATCGAATGCCTTTGCAAAGTCCCTGTATACCACATCTGCATTCATTTTTCTTCTAATGCCTCAGTAATTTCAAGTGGTCAAGTAGCTGCAAGAAGCATGATCTTCCCGCTCTAAATCCATGTTGGACAGGGCTGTGGAGGTCATTGGTCCGTGAGGTCCGTGAAACTATTAACATGCAGTTACTGTACATCACAGTATCTACCTTCCTGACCAAATATTACTAATGCTGGTATAGGTACACTACATGGGTATGTAGGTACACTACATACTTTTGTCAGCATCTGTCAACAAATTATTAAAATTCTTAGAAGTATAAGACAAGTACAAGACTTACACTTAAGTACAAGACTTACACCTAAGTACAAGACTTACACTCAAGTACAAGACTTACACTCAAGTACATGACTTACACTCAAGTACAAGACTTACACTCAAGTACAAGACTTACACTCATGTACAAGACTTACACTCAAGTACAAGACTTACACTCAAGTACAAGACTTACACTCATGTACAAGACTTACACTCAAGTACAAGACTTACACTCAAGTACAAGACTTACACTCAAGTACAAGACTTACACTCATGTACAAGACTTCCACTCAAGTACAAGACATACACTCAAGTACAAGACTTACACTCAAGTACATGACTTACACTCAAGTACAAGACTTACACTCAAGTACAAGACTTACACTCATGTACAAGACTTACACTCAAGTACAAGACTTACACTCAAGTACAAGACTTACACTCGTGTACAAGACTTACACTCAAGTACAAGACTTACACTCAAGTACAAGACTTACACTCAAGTACAAGACTTACACTCATGTACAAGACTTCCACTCAAGTACAAGACATACACTCAAGTACAAGACTTACATTCAAGTACAAGACTTATACTTAAGTACAAGGAAAATACAAGACTTGCACTTAAGTACAAGTCTTGTACTTAAGTGATGTACTTGCACTCAAGTACAATATTTACACTCAAGTACAAGGCTTGCACTCAATTACAAGACATGCACTCAAGTACAAGATAAGTATCAGACTTACACTCACATACAAGATAAGTACAAGACTTACACTTAAGTACAAGATAAGTGCAAGACTTGTATTCAAGTACAAGACTTACATTCAAGTACAAGACAAGTACAAAACTTACGACCCGACACATGAATTTATTTTAAATTGAAAAATATCTGACCCAGGATTGATCAAGCACTTACGCGTCCACTTACGAAACCTGTACATCTTTCTTAGATCTTGGCGTCTAAATTTGCGTTTAATAAACAGTTTACGCGCTCCGAAGAGTTATGAGGTTGTTTACATCATTAATGACCTTACATTGTCATTGCAGGAAGGTTGTAAACTTGCAAGAGTTGCACACATTGCAGGAGGACAGGTAGGGAGGTGGAGACTGGTGCAATATGGCACTATGAAGTTGTCTGCCTGCAGTGCCACGGTTGCTCAAGGCTCCATACTAATGCCTGCCAGAGCTCCTCAGGCACTCTTGCTGAACCTCCCATTCTCCGTCTCCATCCCTTCTCTCCCTTTCCCTTCCTTTACCGCCTTTCCGTTCGATGACTTCCTTCGGGGACTACTCCCTTATAAGTCTTGCTTCTGGCTCTCAATTTCCCATCATTACCTCAATCTGTCTAGCTTCCCTTTCCCCATCCATTACCTCAAACTCACTGTCTCTTCCATTGCCTGTTCCATTCTTTCCTATATCATATCCTCCTCTCTGTTTCCCCTTACATTCACAACTTCTCCCTTCCCCTAAACCTTCTTCCTTTCCTTTACCTTCCTCTCGCTCGCGGGAGGGCTGGAACGGGGCTCCTTGCCTGCCTTAGCCACAGTGACCCTGTTAGAGTTACACCACCGTCTTGAAGGCCTCACAACACCAGAAGTAGCAACAGGCTTCTCTATCAACACACTTATTATCTAGGATAATTAGGGCGAGGCTGAATTTCGACAGTGGTGTGGGTTGCGTCCACAGGTGTGAGGGAATCTAGATTCCCTCAGCTAGTTTTCCTAGTTTCTAGATTAGACGAGTCGCTCTAGGGACTCGTAGAAACTGAAGCTTTCAAACTAACATATACTTGTGGGGTGTTGAATGAAAGCTTATGTTAAGGACTGTCGGTTGGGACTGGTTAGAGGTCTGTGATGGCTCTGTAGAGAGAATTACAGAGATTTTCCTGTTTCTGTGAAATAGGAAGAGGTGAGAGTGAAGTGGTAGGAGAGGATACTTGACTAGAACCGTTAGAGGTGGGGGGAGAGTGGGGTGTATGTTGCCCCCCCCCAACATGTGAGACATTGAGCCATTGTCTTTAGGCCTCCCCCTCCTTGTGACGTCACAGGGAGGCTTGAGGGTGGGTGTGGTAGTTGTGGGTGGGTGTGGTAGTTGTGGGTGGATGTGGTAGTTGTTGGTGGGTGTGGTACTTGTGGGTGGGTGTGGTACTTGTGGGTGGGTGTGGTAGTTGTGGGTGGGTGTGGTAGTTGTGGGTGGGTGTGGTTGTTGTGGGTGGGTGTGGTAGTTGTGGGTGGGTGTAGTAGTTATGGGTGGGTGTGGTAGTTGTGGGTGGGTGTGGTAGTTGTGCGTGGGTGTGGTAGTTGTGCGTGGGTGTGGTAGTTGTGGGTGGGTGTGGTAGTTGTGGGTGGGTGTAGTAGTTGTGGGTGGGTGTGGTAGTTGTGGGTGGGTGTGGCAGTTGTGGGTGGGTGTGGTAGTTCTGGGTGGGTGTGGTAGTTGTGGGTGGGTGTGGTGGTTCTGGGTGGGTGTGGTAGT